AAAACACAGTCGTATACTTTTATCTAAATTTGCTCCAATTATAGGTGGCCATGGAAATCGTTTTATGGCAGGTCATATTACATTTTATTGCAAGTTCATGTTTCAAACGAGATGGAGACCAATATGAATGTATTATAGTTACCCGTTATAAACATCACAGGTGAGTAGTGCACAGAATTGATTTGTTCAATTGTAATGCCAAAACTGGCTAATTTGAATTGGTGCCAATGTTCAGAAAAACTTTTGAAGATTTGCATATTTTTGAATTTGGAAGCTAAAAAGTGATTAGTGGAGGAGATATTAATTTTTCCTATTTCGATACCGCAAAGTAATACCACAGTAGTAATACATGTCATAAATATGTCGTTTGTGTTGTTATTGATGGATTTTCGTCATTTGTATGATCAGTTCTCGTTGTTTTAGTGACTCATTTAGTAAAATGAAACTAAAGCAGACCATTTTGTCTGTGTTTCAAAATATTTTCTTCATGTTTTAATCTAGCGAAAAAGTGTAGGTATACAAAATTGAACAACATAAAATTGCCTATAAAAGAGGGTCGATTTATTTCTCGTCAACAGTGAATAGTTTTTGAAATAGAGGGGATGGAAAAATATATTGTTCACTTTTGTATATCTACTTTTTGTGCTAGAGGCTTCAATTTTCGAATTATTCAAGAACAACATGAAAAAAAGACCTTCAAGACCTCCCCGCTCATCCTAGGGTCCGGACTTGTAGAATGTTGTTCATAGCACTTCCCCCTACCACTTAACAAAAATTTGCGACTAGATGGTTTATTTTCCCTATTTTTTGTTCGTTTACTGAACTATACAGTGCTTTCGTAAAGTACTGAATAAATTCATTTTTAGCCAAACAATCCATCTCAGAGAAATCTACTGAAACACGTCGATTTTAATTTTTAATTCGTCACATTTTTGAGAAGAAATCTAATATACAGGGTGGAGAAATGACGACCACAACAATTTTTTCAAATGGAACACCCTATGTATTATTCATTTTTCTGAATCGCCATGGAAAGCTGAGTTCTAAAGTGTACCACACTTAGTGTGTTCGTTAAACTGTATGCTTCCGTAAAGTATTGCATGAATTCATTTTTACCATACAGGCTGATTCACGGTGGATGGCACATTAGACGTTTCTGGTGAACCAGACAACGGATCATTTTGAAAATTCAATGGAGGGCATATTCGGACATTCTCTAGCCAACTAAAATATTTTCGACAATGCGGTGTTGCCGCTTCTATTAGAAAGCAGTAGCAACTTTGATTTTTCAAATGGAACACTCTGTATTTTATTGCATTTTCAGATTCTCCCTGAAGAGCAGATTTCATCGATGTATCTCACTTGGAGTCTAGCGGAAATGATTACAGAGATATAGGGTGTGAAAAATCGACATTCTTCAACTTTAGGAATTTTTTTTGTCGAAACTATTCATTATTGGTCGAAACGGCTCACATGTCCCTATCTCAACTTTTGATTAACTATCTACTAACATTTAATTGAAACAAATACAGGGTGGTGCAGAATTCAGAATCTTGATCACCCGGTATATGTCCCAATTAAATATCAGTAGATAGTTAATCAAAAGTTGAGATAGGGACATGTAAGCCGTTTTGACCAATGATGAATAGTTTCGACACAAAAAAATCCTAAAGTTGACAAATGTCGATTTTTCACACCCTATATCTCTGTAATCATTCCCGCTAGACCCCAAGTGTGAAAAATCGAAGTTGCTACTGCTTTCTAATAGAAGCGGCAACACCGCATTGTCGAAAATATTTTAGTTGGCTAGAGAATGTCCGAATATGCCCTCCATTGAATTTTCAAAATGATCCTTTGTCTGGTTCACCAGAAACGTCTAATGTGCCATCCACCGTGAATCAGCCTGTATACTATCAATTTCTGAGAAATCTCCTGAAACAGGTCGATTTTTATTTTCAAATTACCACATTCACAAGGAAAACTTGAATATACAGGGTGATATTCAGACACTCTCTAAAATTCAATCAACACATACGAATAATTCCTGTAGGAGATATAACGCCATCGACATTTTTTTAATGACTACCCCATTTCACGATAGCACTTAATATAACGGACACACTGTATACAAACTCTATGTGTAATGAAGTTTTGAATTCAACTTTGAATGAAGATTCAGAAAATTCAATATCATATAGGGTGTTCCATTTGAAAAAATTGTCGTGGACTCCATAACTCAAACGTGGATCACCCTGTATATGTGATTTTCCCTCATAAATGTGACAAATTGAAGATTGAAATGGATATGCTTTAGAAGATTCCTCAGGTATGGATAGTTTGGCAAACAATATATTCATTCAGTACTTTAAAAAAGCACTAAATTTATCGGAAGCACTGTATAGAAACCCATTGTGTGATAATATATTTTTGAAGTCAGCTTCCCATGTAGATTCCAAAAATTGAAGAAGATATAGGGTGGTCCATGTGAAAAAATCATCGCGGACGACATAACTCAAAGGTCGATCACCCTGTATATATAATATTTCAATAACAATGTGGAAAATTGGAAATAAACATCAACCTGTTTCAGAAATGGATAGATTGACTAAAAATGGATTTATTCAGTACTTTACGAAATCACTGTATATGGTTCTATTGAAGAAACCAATTAGAGTTAGTGGTGGGTTGTTTGAAGGTTAGCGAAAGAACTTTCGATCCCATATACGCTACTTTTTTTTCTTGTGGTATACTTATTTCAAATTTCCTTGGTATAAAACTCTCTGTGAAAACCATAGTACTGCTAGTGAATACAAGATGTCACAGATGAATGATTAGAGCAAGGTTGGTAGAACTGATGATTATAATCATGGATTAGAAAACTGTATAGTTACTCTAGGATTAGTATGGATTGTACTGTAAGGTATGTTAGATGTTATCTCCGAAAAATAGGAGTCTGTACATATGCTTATTATTGCTCTATCACCTGAATAACAGATGGCGCTAGTTGATGTGATTCGAAGATTTCCAGGTTTGTTAAAGGGGCAAATTATCTTCAGGAATCATAAAATAACAACTAACAGAAAAATAGCTATTATGATGGAAATGTCAGAAATAACATTTTATATGGCATTTAGCAAGTGAGGAAGAAGGTGGAAACAATCATAAGCAAGTTAAGCAGTCCTACACACAAACAAAAAGCACTTACAACATTATTACTTATGTACCTACACAAGACATTACAAGACAAAAATCATTAAGAAATGGCAGCGTTTTTTATATTATGTCTTATAAAAAATACAAATATTCAGATACTTACGATGAAGGGTGTGTTGTGGATTATCGATAATTCGAATCTGCCTGTCAGGCATGATTGGTTCTCCATCATGTCCCCCAATATTATTAGGTAATTGATACCTAAAAAAAAGTAACTTATGAGATTATGCGCTCGAAGAATAAAAACTAACTAAGTACTAATATTGAAAATAAATTTTGAACGTTCAAATAGAAGATAGTATGTTTTATTTGGAGATAAAGTACGTTTTGTTACTAGTTTGTAATTGTCGAACAAGCTAGTCCGACAATTAGCACAAAGATGCCACGAAGTGTGAATTTTACACAATAAAAAACAAAATTCAATTGATTGTACATGTCTAATATTAAAAAATTGGATAGTTTAGGAGAAAAAAAAAGGTAATTGTGTTGTTTTGTGTCAATTATTTCTTAGAAATAAAACCTATGTATTTGGATGGCAAGTGAAAAATTCTAGATTGGACTTGCGCGAATTAATAAATAGCCGAAAAACATGATTCGTATGCCAAAATAATTGTGAAAAACTATTTCAATCATTTGTAAACAAATTAGAAAAGTGAGGTTGTATTTCAATGTTTCACCTCCAGGGTCGGTCATCTGACACTTGATGAAATAAACCTCTGGTGTACGCACTTCAATCCTTTCCTGTTTTACAATTCCTTGATTTTCGCCTACTTCGATGAACATAACATGGCGTGGGTGAATGTCGCTAAATTTAGTCTGGTGCCGTACCAAAATTACAGGCATCAATGTGACAATTGTGACCGAATTGTGACCAATGAAGATAGGGAATACATTTTGCGATTTAGCCGCATCAAGGTTGGTAGAACTGATGTTGATCATAAGTTTTAAGAATCACGCCATCTAACATTCGATATGTGAACCCCACGTCATCGTCTGAAATTCAATTGTTTATATCAAGAACCAGTCTGACGAAACAAATGAAGAGTGAGCGCACCAGAGGTTTATTTCATCAATATCTGACAGTTCTTGAAAAGTAGACTTTTCCGCTAGTAAATGTTTCAAGATACTTAGATTGGAACTTGAATCTTTCCCAGCATGAGGGAAAATAAATAGGGACATGTTTCAGACTACTATGAGCTCATCATCATCAGCCTAGTTTTGGTGGGGACAATTCGTTTTTTTATAGGGGGTCGGTCCCTTTTTGATTCTTTTTTAATATAGTACTCCAGAAGCTCTAAATCCTGTAATATATCAATTCAAGTTTCTCCATAGATTACTACTTGAAGACTATTGAAAAATATGAAATTTCGCTTCTCTTTGGGCGTTTTGGAAACGGATCTGCTCCGTTTTCAATATAAAAATGGAAAATAATTCTTCCGTTTGATCTATTTTCGTCTTTTGACAATTCTCAGTGAATAGAAGTTGTCAGAAAATATATGTGTCAGAAAGATATGTGAGTGACAGGTTGTTTTTTTCTAATTGATCTTCAATCAACCATTTTCATCAACTGAACAGGAAGCAAAAAAGTTATTATCTTGCTTCATAAAAATGCATGTGGATTCTTTGATCTTTCGTTTTGATCGTTATTTTCTCATCCTATGATTTTAATATCATTACACTCTGCCATAAATATATTGTCCATTTTTAGTAAGGATATGTCCCACCCTGTATATACTATGCCACTATTTGTGATAACATGAACTTCTAGCAGATACTTGTATTATTACCTTGCCGATTCTTCTTCCATTTCGGATCGGGGAAAGTATAAAGGTAACAGTACTTCGTATATACCTAAATCTACTTTATCAACAACAAATATCACAGTGTCTAATGAACTGCCGTGACGTTCAAGGAACCTTCGTACTGTACCTAAAAAAAAAATAGTAAGATTATTAGAAATCAATTATCATTCATTAAGATATCGATAGTAGGTCGATGGTGAGCATTGATAAAAAAAAATATTGACATAAACAAACTCAGATTACTACTCTAGAGCGCTTTCTGTTCAAGAAACTGAACTTACATGAGTGTCTTCTCGACACAATTACATCGTTGTTACATAAAAATGGTTCGAGATTTAAAAAATTACACCCTACTTACTCTGTAACCTGTTTATCTTGAACAAAAAATGACACTCCCTCTTCAAACTCCGAACGATGTAATCGTGTTCCTCAAAGTTAATTTGAAGTATTTCATTTCTCTGAAGACCGAATGTAAAACTAACTGAATAGCTGGTATAACTTAAAAGTTAGTATAAACCTTCTAATTGAATATGTGACACATAGTAATGTATAAATAGTTCCTGCTGCTTTTAATTATGTGAATCATCAGCTAGAAGCCATTATTTACATACATTTTATTATTTGCAGATACAATTTTGCAAATAATATCACCGAAAACTATTGCAGACCTGAACCACAAAAGGGGAGAACTTACTTCTGTGACAAAATGAAACCAACAGGCAGGTAACTCAAGTTTTCAATTTCCCCCTTCCTAAACTATAGTCCTAATTGATTTCAACATATCTCTAACCAAAATAACTATGGTCCATGGCTAATATATTGAAAATATCAATGAATATGCTTTTATTGAGAATTGATAATTCAGACAAGTTATAAATAGAATAAGTATACAGAAAAGTTGATGGGAATGTCTCTTAAAACTGAAATTAATGACTCTACTAATGTTAATAATAAATTGTAATTAAAAAACCATTAGAACAATATTAAAATAGGTAACTCATAGATTTGAAACTAGCATTTGAAATGGTTGCTAATCTATTTGTGGAAATATTGTCAATATGTTCAGAAACAATCATTGAACTAGAATTAGATCATGTGAACAAGGGTTGCAATTGGCCATATTTCACTTGAAAAATGTTAGACCTTTTGTGCTATTTGTTTTCAACAGTTACTGTCGAATTTATTGTCATTTGCGGAATGTATTATTTTTTTGTTAATGTCGGATTCAATTAGTTTTAAAAATGAAGAGGCCAATAAGTTGTTCGATCTAGCTCTAATTGTCGGTGACAATTTCACAGTTTTTGATTTTATAGAAATACAGGGTGTCCCATAAGTCAAAAGGAGTGGGGGTGGTAGGGGAAGACATTTGCCATCAAACTAACGGTATATGTGGCTATCAAATTATTGATGGTATAAAAGTTATTCAGTTTTTGTGGAAAACGCGATCCATTTGAAAAAAAAGAGCAACAAATAGGCGGTTTGGAATGTTATCTTTGTGGGGTAGGTAATTTTAATTTCTGCCAGCTGCATTCAAAAATCAACTTAAATATTTCATTATATGACAAAACTCAAGGAAAACAACATTTTTCTCAGGTTATTGATAAGAAGTAACATATGTCATGAAATCATTTCTGGAGAAAGGTGCATCAACGTGGATATAATTTGAAGAAGAAAAAATCACAAATGTGACATAGTTTTATTGCAATTTTATTCTCATTTGACATTTGACACTTTTGTAGACAATCTCAATACAAAATGGCGGTTGTTATTTTTTCAAAGAAATCAAAGAATTTCATTCTGACTATACTAGTAATGCTATAAATAATTATCAGATTGTAAAACACAGAAGTGACATAATTTTGAAACACTCAATTGAAAAATGGGTTGAAATTATTGCTTGTTAATATCTTCAAATAAAATAAATATTTGAAAACAGTTGCAGAACCCCTCCATGAATGTATGTGAATGACATAAGTAATACAGGATGTTTGTAATGACAAAAGCGTCTCATTTCCTACACGAAGCAACATATATCTTACTTTAAACCTTGTTTTCATCAAATAATTCTTCGACGTTATTGTGAACCTTACAACAAAGATATAATCTTGTAAAGAACATTTTCAAGTGGAATTAAATGCATATTAAATGTCTCTCAGACTTTCCACTGAAAAACAGATAACAATATTGACTATGCGCATTAAGAACCGTCTAGCATTTCGGTAATTCTTTTGTTCCACTGGATCGGCATTCTAGAGTAATGTATTAAGATCTCACGCAAGATTGAAAAACACCCTGTACAAAAAACACAGTTTTGGGTAACTACCTCTGTATAGCTCCTTAAACAAAATTACGGTTCTTAATTAGTTACATATAAGTAGCTACTATTCAATTGAATTCATCATAATCTAGGTGATAATAGAAATAATTATTCATATTATCATATTTTGACTATTTTATCTCAGAGAAACATTGCAAATTGAGAGATAGGAATAAAGAATTATGTTAATTGACATGACAAAAAAAGGAAATCAATGATTATTTTGCATTGTTTAGTAATTCAATTGAATGACTTACAAATGAGAATTCCAATTTCACGATCTGAGGAGTTGTAATAAGTGAACAAACTATAACTAGGGCATCAATAAACCATTGACACTGCCATACCAACTTTTCGGATATCTTCAATGAGTGTATTTTATCAGTTGAATATATTTATTTACGCAGGTATTGCTATCAGTTTAATGATACTCAATATAAACAATAGTGCCAATCCCGTAATATATTGATCATGAAGGTACAATTCAAACATTTTGAAAACAATTTCAAGGTCGCGAATGTTGTAAGGAAATATAAAAATATGAATTTTGTCCTTCATGTTCTGAGAAATAATAAGGTATGTAATATTTCAAAAGAGAACTGCAGTATAGATAATATAGTCGGCTTTTTCAGAATGATAATGATTTTAGTCACTATTTTCTGTAATGAATTTGTTTCTAATTATTAGCTACTTACCTCACATTGTTTGGTTCATTTCTGGTACATAAATTTGTGGTGTGAAATTAGCATAATATTTGAATAGGAATTATTTATTGCTCACAACCAGAATTATGCAATGCAAGTCATATTAATTCTACGAAATACATCTTGAAATACAGGGTAGTTCTCTAACTAATTTATGACAGGTTTATAGAGAACTGAAAGAGATATCAACCGAAAATGTCGGTTATATTATAAAGCCATTGTCAAAAATATTTTCAATATGCTGTCACTCCTGGTAGAACTGGAAGTTTTGCCTTAACTTTTTTTTTATGGATCACTCGTTATAAGAACAACAACATTTATTATTGCATTTTTAAATGCTACGTAAGATCCTCGAGTTGTTGCAATACATTTTTTCTTATACTTTTTCCGAATATCCAATGTTTAAAAAAAAATTGACAGACTGGAATGACCAACTGAAATATCTGTACTACCAACATTTTTTTTAATCTCTTGGAGCGCATGAAAGGAAACTCCTATAATGTTCGAAAAACATGCATACCTATAGAAAGATAGGGAGAGGACGTAGGTGTTGTTTTTGTATTGATGAAGGCTAAAATTCCGCGTCGCCTGTTGTGACCATTTTATGGTCGTTCCATGTGAAAAAAGTAAATTATCGTCATTTAAAAAGTTAACGGAAATATCGAACACCCTGTTGAACATTTTGAAATACAATGGGCTTATATCACAAAAAATTGTTATTCCATAATTCGATAGAATTCACCCAAACTAGCTCACCACAGCAAACCGTTAATCGCTGTGAGCTCCCTACGTTTTATAAAAAATTATTGAAATCCCCGATTTTTCGGACCTCTGAAAACGAGGCGATGATGTGACGTCAAAACCCTAATACTGAAACAGGACTATTCCAGACAGAGATGAATGATACATGATTTCTAGCAGAGTGAATTAGCGCGAGATCACAATTGAAAGAATTAATATATCAGTTGCCTCAGTCTCCGTCCGGCGTTTGGTATTTTCTTTTAATTATGGCGAGATGAGGTTTCTACGTCATAAGAGGGTCCGTTTTGAGATGGTACCATTATTTATGTCCAAAAATTGAACATTCCAGTGATTTTTTCGATCGAATTATGTCGTCAATCATTATTTATGCATGAAAGGATCATTATAAACATGGTTTGAGTTAAAAGTTCTACCAAGGTGTACACGCCCATTAAGGTCTCCTTTTGTTGACATGTTTACCAGTTGGGCAGTTGCCTTCTTTTTTTTCTAAATTAAATATTTCAATTCCATGCAGAATTAGAAAATAATATAGAGTGTGCCATTTGAAAAAACCAAGTTGATATTTTTTCTCGTTTTTAGAAAAAAAGAAAATTTCGGTTGGTTCCTCTTCTAGTTATCTGTGAACTTCTAATAAATCAGGTAAATCACCCTGTATATCCTTGACTAATTTATGATGTTCTCCCAAAATATCTCGGAACCAAACATGCAGAAGCAATACTAAACAGACATGAAACCATAAGTAATATTGATCGAGCATTGAATCAACTTTTTCATAAACTTCTAATCATTTTATAGGAAGTAATTTTATACTTACGAAGAGCAATATGAGCACCTTCATCAGGTGGATAATTTCGCTTGACAGAATTGATCACACAAAGGGCTATTGAATGGAGGCCCATTTCTTTCGCCTTTTGTAATACACTCCTGAAAAAGAACATATTGAATGTTCATATGTATAAGCAATTTGAAAAATAATTATATTCTTTCACTGATGAAGATAGCAAAGATTTTCTGGAGAAGCGTCAATTTGGTGAGGTATTGGAAACAAATGACCATAACCTTGTTCAGATGGTACTATTATTTATGTCCAAAAATAAAACATTCCAGTTAATTTTTCGATCAAATTATGTCGTCAATCATTATTTATGTATAAAATAAATAACACACAAAAAAGTGTCATCAAATCAGGCTTTCTGTAATTGAACTTATACGATTTTATAAAACATATTCTTCATATCCCCGATTGCAGAAATTTTTCTGATGACCCAAGAAAGTGTTTGTCTCTTGAAGACTTCTGAGGGTTGCTCGTAAGAGGGCAACCGATTGACAGATAGAACAATTTGAGAACAAAAAAACAAATACAATTCCAATACTTAGTCAAAAACAGGATATAGAAAATATTCCTGATATTGAACAATGATCATATTCAGAAAAATCATCGATAAGCATTAGAATTGTAGAATTATTCCTCTATAAAAGAATTTGAAGGCTTCAAAGGAAGGAAACCATCAGCGCTCCTGAATTTGTGAATAACAGTAGGCGGAGCCAAATAGAATTCGTAAATAACAGTAGGCGGAGCCTAATAGAATTCGATTCTCAGTTTTGTGATTATCCAATTAGAATGTTGCATAGGGGAATCGCCGTAGGCAAAATCTAGAGTGATTAAAAAAGGAACAGAACTGACGATATTTTCACGGAATAGAGCAGTGCAGTTTGCTAAATACAATTTTTCCAAGGCAGTTTTCAGTAAGATTCTATATAAGATTTTTATTTTTCTGCAGAAAGAATGGGATACTCCTGAATAGAATACAATATCGTTCGCCAAGAAGGAAGAAGTAGAGGTGAATAATTGCAGATGAGGAATGATTATTCAATAAGAAAGAAAAATAGGTAAATGGTTTGACAATAGAGAAACAAGCAGGAAACCTAGTTTATCTTGACATATTATTGAAAAAGATCTACAGCCAGCTCATCATTCATAACTAAACCAAAGGGGGTGGCCAACCAAATGGTAAGCAGTTTTCTGTATTCAGCAATCTGTCCCTAACGGAAGAAAACGAGAGGGACAAAGGAACATTCCAAATTGTTCAATGATAATTTCTAAAATCACAAGATGTCTGTCAAAATTAGTGGTTGTGACGATCTGAAATTCTCGCTATCGTGACTTACTAGGTACACTCATCTTCAGAGATCATGTCGCACATGGACGGTGTCAGCTCTCTTGATCAACGCTGCAATGAGAGCGGGCATACCGTCCAACCACGACATGTTCGCTGAAGACGAGTGTACAGTGATTATTTTTTACTGACCTATAACAAGTATGGAGAGTATTTTCTGCTGCAGACTTGTACCTCACATTATACTTGGGTCCTACAGTATGAACAATATATCGAGCTGGCAATGAGTATCCTTGAGTCACTCTCACTTCACCAGTTCGGCATTCTGTGGAAATAATGTTATGATGAATAATTTCAGAACTTAATCATGAAAAATGATGAAATGATGCATGCTTTCCAACCAAACTAGGTGAGAATTTAGTAACTTATAAAAGAAATATACAAAAACTTTTCAAGACCACAACTATTTTCATTGAGCATCATATTATAACCTATACCAACAGTGGTTAAAATTATCTAGGCAAATTAGGTAATTCAACTGAGCATAATCATCATGGAGTTTTTCGAATGTATTATTATATTTGGGCGACGGCAAATAGTTCTAAGACTGTATTTTTTTCAATTATCACCTCTAACATCCAGATTGATTTCCTCCTTCAACTCTGATCCAGCCCTTTGAAAAATCCTATTGCTTACTGGATTATTATCTGCCATAGACTCATTTGTTGAATTGACAATGGCGTCTACTTGAAGTGATGATATATCACCAGACCTGAAGATAAAATGGAAAACTATCAGATCGAGTGTCAAATTGAAACATGCAGCACTTCAAAAGACATACAGCTCATTCCAAATCTGAATTAAAAAACTCTTAGTCATCTCCAAATGTTTTGAATACAATTAATATTGAGAAACTAGTTTGCATTTTTGAATTTCGGTGCAGTAACAAATTGTAATACTTTGAAAAATCAACAAACTAGTTTCATGAATTTTTCAAGTAAGCTGTGGAAAACAACATTTCTGAATCTCCTCATGAGATTTCACTTGTTTTGACCTGTTGAATTTAAATATGTAAAAATATACAGGGTGTTCCATTTGAAAAGAAGAAGTTGCTGGCATTTCCAGAAAATTAGGATGTCCGCCATATCGGATTGTAATGTCATTGAATCCGAAATGGTTGCTTACATAACTGTAGCAAATTTCAGAAAAATCCATTCACGAATTCGGAAGTTACAGGGGTGGCCCGATAACCTGTGTCACCCTATATTGTGTGCAAGAGAATGTGGAAGCATAAAATTATGAAATCAAGTTATAGTCCAGTAGTCAGGGATCGTGAGTAAGCCGCAAAAGGTCCGGTAGTTTTGATTTTCGGATATGTTCTAGTATCCACGGTAATTATCAAATTTCCAAATTTGCGACCGTTGATTTCTCATTGTCTTGCGATATCTACCTCATCCAAACTAAACATGGATTATTTTCATTAGTATGAAACTTGTAGGAAATTTAGTCTTCTATAAGATTGATAATAGTATTTTTGTGCTAGTACCCACCAATGAGGACATAATGCCAAAATTAACAATTCTAGTCGCCATTTTCCAAGGTCGCAAATCTGGGATTTTTATAAGCCCCTGAACTCTATTAAATAAGCAAAAATCAAAACTACCGGACCTTTTGCAGGGAAAAATCCCCTGGCTACTGGACTATTAGGTATTTCCACTTCGAATTGCTGATTATTTGAAGTCAGCGCAATATTCATTATTGCATTAATTATTTACAAATTTGTGTGAAGCGTGACCATGATTTCCATTCAACTGAAAGTTTAATCTATTATTAGAGGATACATGACATTGGATTATTTCATAGTAAACATATAGAAAATAGGTCGAATCGGTAGTAGTTGCAGGAACACTCCTATACAAGGTGTTAATAAATAAGTGTCACAACGGAAAACTCTATATTCCTCATAAAAAAGATAATTTTTTTTACTCTTCGAAATTTTTCTCCGGGCTTCCGTTTTCAAGATACAGGACGTCAAAAAAAAATGAAAAAATCCAGTTTTTTGCTTTTATCTCAGGAACCGTTCGAGCTACGGAGCTGAGCCTTTGTACACACTTCATCATTGATAATGACTACTTCTAAAGCTCTTGATCAATTTCCTTGGGCATGTCAGTAGCGGAGAGTTCAACGCCTCGTATGGGTTTAACCCCCCAATCTTTCATGCGACTGGGAAAATTGTAATTTTCGAAGCACATTGCAAAAAATCTTGGTCTGTACATGGATCCAGGTATGAAATTTTCGGATCATATCAGCAAATGTTTGCAGAAATCTTATAGCGCTTTGAAACTATTATATTCCAATCGATATAACTTGCATAATAGTTTGAAGAAAATGCACTGCGATCAATTAATATTATCTCAGTTCAACTATTGTGACGTGGTATACGGTAACCATATTAATAATTTCGACGCTTGCAGGATTCAGAAAGTTCAAAACAACTGTTGTAGATATATACTAAACTTACGAAAATATGATCACGTGTCTGAGAATATTGCAAAATTAGGCTGGCTGAAAATGAAATCTCGTCGTTATTTACATTTCGCTGCGTTCTGTCATAAAATCATTTTAACGAAGACACCATCTTATCTTTATGAGAAATTGAGATTTCGCGGTCAACTCCATAATGTTAATATTCGTGCCCAGTATTATATTCATATTCCAGCACACCATACAAAGAAATTCGAATCTTCCTTTGTCTACGAAGCTCCTCATATTTATAATAATTTAGATGACCATCTGAAGAGAATGTCAGTAAATTCATTTAAGGCAAATTTAAAAAAAATCCTTCTAGCCGAACAATTGACCGTCAACTCATCGTAAAAATTCGAAAAGCTCAATGAATCTATATCCCTCCTCTAGCCAAAAAGATTATCCTGAACTCATAATAGAAAGCCATATCTCATAATATATCTATCTCTCACATTCGTCAAGAATTTTTCTTCTGATTTTTTTTTCTTTGTTTTCAATACAGAGTATAGTTCTGATTACGTTGAATGCTACAATGATATCTATGTTCATTTCTATAATTGTTAGGTTAAAGTGTAAGAATAGTTTTATACTAAACTTTCGCCTAATAAAGACCTATTATTATTATTATTATTATTATTACATTCTGAAGCGCCAATATTTTTCACAAAAAAAGGCCATCTTGCTTCAATGCTCTAAAGTGAACAGTTTTAGAGAAAAATGTCGATTTATGAATAAAAACATTCAGAAGACGGTGGCCTGCCCGTTCACCTGACCTAACACCTCATGAAAAGCCTAGTTTATGAGAATCGGGTTGATACTTTAGAGGAATTGACGGCCAGCATTGAGGCTGCAGCGCTCGAAATTGGCAACATGCTTCGAATTATGGACAAAGTTCAATGAAATATGATATTTGAACCATTAAGGTGTTGAAGATTTTTCTTCCAAGTTGAGTTGATTGTTGCTGTAATTATTGTTAATGATAACTATGGTATTCCACTAACAAGTTGAATATTTTTCGAAAAAAATTATAGTAGGATTTTGTATGTTTTCTCGAAAACTGTTCACTTCAGAGCATTGAAGCAAGACGACCTTTTTTGTGTGAAAGATATTGGCGCTTCAGAATGAGCTTTGAAAATTACAATTTTTCCAATGGCATGAAAGTTTGGGAGTTTAAACCCTTACGAGGCGTTGAACTCTTCGCCACTGACATGTCCAAGGAAATTGATCAAGAGAAGAGAAGTAGTAATTATTAATGATGAATCTACAGTTTTCCGTTTTGACACTTATTTGTTAACACCCTGTATAACTAAAATAGATATTTTTGTATCCAGTTAGGAAACGCTTCGTTTCCCGCAAATTCACACAATTACACAAAATTGCGTTTCCTAGCGTGTTACGTACAATAATTTTGGCTAGAAAAATGTTCCACGAATTGATATTGTTCAGATTGGTAGTTTCAAGGAATTGTATTGAGAATTTGGTGGATGCAATATTTTCGCTTGTCAGTTTGAAGTTTCCTTCACATGACCAGAATAGGTACCTCGTTTGACAACAGAATTCAGGATGATACAATGTCAGTTTTGAAGTGTCATAATACATGTCAAAATTAGAAAAAGTATTTGCAATTTGTAATTTAATTTTCTCCTATATTTTTAAGGATTGGATAATAATTTTTGCTTTTACCGGCAATGCATCTCTTCCCTTCTGTGAAACCGCTGCCAAATCAAGAGATTAAGAGGATTATTCGTATAAAACAACTTATTCAATTCGGCATTATGACAAAAAATGGAACAAGTTTCATAACATGAAAATTTCATAAATCAATTTCCAACCAATTAGAAGGGCCCTATCGCTATAATTTTTTCAGTTCCTATCAATGGAATTAATGAATCGCCTTATATCTATTGGCGAGTTACTCAGTTTCATTTGAAACTATGTAGACATGTAATATCTGATGTTATGGTTGAAAAAGAGTTAATGTTTCAAATGTTCCTAATATTTATTAATAAACCTTGGTTACTAAACAAGTTATATCAATTCCTATTGTGAAAATATGTATAGTGCGTCATATTCAACTGAACTCATGGAAAATATGTGTTTTGAAGTTTTATTTGAATTTAAAAGTATAAAGACATTGGATATCAGATAACAAATTTGTAATTTAGTGTTTCTTACATTTCAGTAATAAAAACGACCTATACCTAAGTGTCTGCTGCTAGGGAGAATATAAGAAATTATTTGTTTCAACCAATATTAATGCCTCATTCTATCCAATCATTTGGTATAATACTGATAATTTGTTGTTGGTAGGCTGTTTTGTTTGACGAACAAGTCTTAATGACTCAAAACCGAAGTATAGCTGCAAAATGTTCGTTTTCACTGGGAATTTTGCAAAAAAAAAGAGCAACAACTATAGCAACAAAGATTCGTGCATCTAGTTAAAATTATCAAAAAAATTACCACCACTTGTGTAGGTATACTGTTGACTATTCCACTCTTGATCTCGAGAACCAATCAGAATCGACCATTTTCACTGTTTTTTTCTGTATTCTAGCGATATTTTTGTTTATTAAATTTTATCGGACTTGCTCTACCAATACAGAAGCCGAATTGACCCACACGTGGCCAACAAACCTCGTTCATCAGCGATAAAATTTTGACATCGTGTCTGGTCAAGATTGCTTTGGATTCAAATCTGAGACAATAACCTGAGTACCTACTTTATTTTATTCAATTATAATTCGCGTTAGTGAGACATTTTGTACGAAAGGCGAGACAATTTTATTCCGGCTGGACGTTTCATGTGTAATTTAAAAAGTTTGCATATTTGTTGAAGGTCTAATCTAACACAACAATACTAGAATTCAAATTCCTTTTTAAAGTAATCTTCTTCAATCACTCAAGTTATTGTGACTAATATAATTACCAGATGATGTAGCGCAACTGATAGGGTTGTTGCGCGAAGATACGAAGGTCGATGGTTCGAGCCCCTCGGCGACGATATCTTTTTTTTTTATTATTTTATGTCACATAAATTCAATTTATTTTGTTTGAATTGGATAGCAATTGTATACACTCTTTTGAGAGCAACCATCTCCAAGATAATAAAAAAATACTGTTTATCAAAATTGTACATTCCACTTTGTGAATAACTATAAGTAGATAGTTATTTTCAAAAAAATTGAATTCTGTATTTCATTACTATCATTATGTTCTTCTTCGCAGTTTGAGTTGGAATATACTTGAATTATGTCTCCTATTTCTTATATATATTGTCTCACTCAATCATGAAATAGTCATACGATTCATACGAATACAACTCGTGATACTATTTTTTCTGGAAATATTCGTCGATTGACATACTCCAAAACTACTCGCCTACGGCCCGTAGTTTTGATAACAATGTCATTCACGAAATTACTAGGCAGCAAGCTGTCGTAACAATCACCGAATATTTCCGGTAAAATATTATCACTTGTGGTATTACATAATATGATAATTTACCCATAAGTGTAAGAAACCCAGACTGATAAATATAAACTAAATAAATACGAATTAATTTTGAATGAACGAGGAGACACCGCAAAATTTCGTAGTAGACGGGCAATAATCGTAGTAAAAAATGAAATTTCTCGTTTGTGTCGTTTGAATATTCTAATCCACACTTTCGACATTGAATTTCTGGAGATGTAGGAGATAGACACTCACCACAAAACAATTTTGTGATTTATGTTGGGATCATAAGGAAACGGGGAAGTATCGAAGATGGATTCCCCTATGGTACTGTAGTCGGTGGGACGATGAGAAGCTGTGCTGTTGCCCCATCTGAGAAGGCTCTGAGGCAGTACTATGTCGGAAGCGACCCCTAGGGGTTCCTGGCTCATTTTTATTTTCATGAAGTCTATCTGGAAGAAAACCGATATTGAGAAACAAATCATATACCAAAGACCTATGTGTAGTCAGGGGGACCCAGACCTCATATAATATTCTTGAAATCATGTCTTGTGTAGTGATAAACATTTCTAGGGAATAAAGGCTTTATTCATCATAAAAATGTGAAAGTATTACAATTAATAAGACGTTAAAATGCCAGAATAACATAAACTAATAACAGATTAGGTGATTATCGAATATCACCACATCCTTCCTCCCATAAATAATTCATCTCATAGTGCTTCAATTTTTCTGGCAGACGACGATTTCTAGATGAACGAGGGTGAGAACTGTCTTGAAAAGTGGATGAAGAATCAGGTGTTGAGTGGGAGGCACGGCGAGAGGGAATAGACTCATCAAGAACAAGATTCTCTCCAGTGGTAGGAGGATCTGGATATCCTTGAACAATAGGTGGATCTTCAGGATAGTCTGCGGTGGCAGGCGGCTCTTGATTTTCTTGATCAGTAAGTTGATATCCAGATTCTTGATTATCCGATTGGTGTTGGTATGAGGTTAGGTCATTTTCATTAAACATTGGAGGAAGTTCCGGTTGTATTTCTACTTGGCCGTTGGAAGCCAAGTGTTTAAGGGACACGGTTGTCTGCCTTCCATCTTCTAGCCTGACTCGGGCGTATTGCGGATTCACTTCCATAAGTTTCACTTCTTCTACCAGTGGGTCAAATTTACTTGATCGCACATGTTTCTTCATAAGTTCTTCAGAAGAAAGAACTAACCAGGAAGGTAGAGAGCAGCCATTGATTGATCTTCGAGTATGCATGAACAATGATTTATAAACTCGATTTTTCGACTATAGGCATTGACAACAATTCCACAACTAGTAGCATCACATTTTTTCAACTCCAAGTGAGTCAAGAACAAATTATGTAATTTTTTCACATCAATCTTTCTGTATTGTAGAACTTTCAATTAGGCTGAAGACTGATGATGGTCTTTTAAGACCGAAACATGTCCATTATGATTGTGTAACACCAATAAAAGGACCCCGCACAAAACCATAGGGAATTGGCCCGCAGTGGGATTTTCCTGAAATTCACATATGTTATTGGTATGGAGTTTCTGATCAAATGTTTTCATGTGACCAATCGTCTAAGACCAAAGATTTAGCTCTCAGGGCCGTATTTAGTATAGGTGCCAAATAAACAATGACACTTTTTTTTTGAAGCCCATGATGTTTGTATCTTCCATTATAATTCAATTGAATGAGAAATGTTGCAAAATCTTGGCATTTGTCTTTTAGCACAAGTCCTCTGTAAAACATGCCTTGTCCTACAGGACCGTATTTAGTGAAACTGTATTTGCCAAAGTGATGCCGAATCGAATTGATTTCGTTATTACTTTCTTATTTCTTGTCCTATTTCAGTGGTTGTTTGATAGATGAATGTAGATTTCTTTGTGCACATAACAGAAGTGGTCACTATCTCAATATTCAAGATGATCGGCCTAACATTTAATCTTTATGTTGGACATATCTCGTAGCTTTTTAGGAATCATAGTAACAGGAAGAGATAAAAACACGTTTCGATTGTTGAAATCGGTCATTTACATTTTCAATTACCTAACTCTATAATATAAATATAACTCTACTATCTGATTGAAACTTCATCTAATTCATTACTTACGAAGTTGAAACCGATATTTACAGGGTGGTGAACAAAAAAGTCGAGCACTCACTATCAACAAAATTCCCGAACACTTACAGCTGCTGGAGTATTGCATCTTACACTGGACGATTTGCGGCATCTTCAATATGCTGTACATAAGTCGATGGACGATTCACATTTTGATTATGGCGGGCAAATCCTAAATACCACAATATGCTACAAATATAAGCACATGTTCCTAGTGGCCTTGCCCCTGATTTGCAACTGCCAGTAGTATCCTATTATCAATACATCTTCTTCATTATTCACGTCTGGATTTCATGCGGAGTGTATTGAATGAAAACTTGATATTTTTTTCTCCTCCTGAATCGAGAATACACTCTAAGTCTAATGAATCCAGGTTGGGAATAATAAAGTTGATTGATTGATTGATTGATTCACTCAGCTTAATAATGAGCATGTTCCTCGATTTCCACACCTATCTATGGAGAACTTGAGAAACGTGACTTTTGGAACATATCAAATCAAATTATCAGCGTCCTATGTCCAAGGCAGAATACTTAGAGTTGATCATGAGTCGTTTGAAATTGATCTCAGAGTGAATGAACCTGGATTCATTAGACTTAGAGTGTGTTCTCGATTCAGTAGGAGAGAAAAATATCAAGTATTTATTCAATACACTCCGCATGAAAACCAGCCTGACGAGAATAATGAAGAAGATGTATTGATAATAGGATACTACTGCAGTTGCAAATCAGGGGCAAGGACACTAGGAACATGTGCTCATATTTGTAGCATATTGTGATATTTAGGATTCGCCCGCCATAATCAAAATGTGAATTATTCATCGACTTCTGTGTTACAGCATATGAAAGATGCCGCAAATCGTCCAGTGCAAGATGCAATACTCCAGCAGCTGTAAGTGTTCGGGAATTATGTTGATAGTGAGTGCTCGACTTTTTTGTTCACCACCCTGTAAATATCGGTTTCAACTTTGTTAGTAATGAATTAAATGAAGTTTCAATCAGATAGAGGAGTTATATTTATATGAAAGAGTTAGGTAATTGAAAAAGTAAATGACCGATTTCAACAATCGAAACGTGTTCTTATCTTTTCCTGTTACTATGATTCCTAAAAAGCTACGAGATATGTCCTACATAAAGATTAAATGTTAGGTAATGTACACAAAGAAATCTACATTCATCTATCAAACGACCACTGAAATAGGACAAGAAATAAGAAAGTAATAACAAAATCCATTCGATTCGGAACTTTGGCAAATACAGTTTCACTAAATACGGTCCTGTAGAAAAAGGCATGTTTTACAGTGGACTTGTGCTAAAAGACAAATGCCAAGATTTCGCAACATTTCTCATTCAATTGAATTATTATGGGAGATACAAAAATAATGGGCTTGAAAAAAAAGTGGCATTGTTTATTTGGCACCTATACTAAATACGGCCCTGAGAGCTAAATCTTTGGTCTTGAAGGATTGGTCACATGAAAACATTTGATCAGAAACTCCATACCAATAACATAATTATGTGAATTTCAGGCAAATCCCACTGTGGGCCAATTCCCTATGGTTTTGTGCGGGGTCCTTTGTGAAGATGACTCCGAGCATTCCTTCCTTCCTTCCTTTGAAAAATTCCACTTCACTTTGAGCAATATAGACTTCTACCAAAGATTAACCAGCATCTATACCGATCCTCATGCTACAAACAGCAGGATACTAGGTTCTTACCAATGGTTTCAAATCATTTTCAGCAAAATATCCTCTGAATTTTGGCTACATAAATATACAGGGTGAGTCAGTTTTATGAAGCAGGACTTGAACAGCTTGAAGAAAATACTATTTTTTGTGTTTCAAGTTTTGCCAATGAGTTTCATTAATATATCTTATGACAGCTTTCGATCATTCCAAGTCTTCTAGTCAATTATTGAGAAATGTCGAATAGAGTGTGTTCAAAATAAAGTTTCATCACAAGTGAATTATATTATCTCGAAATTATCTAGAAATTTATATTGGAGAACAAGCAAAAAGTATCCAAATAAAACATCAGAGAATCTGAATCTATGTTTCATTGAAAGCAGAGGTAGCACGATGAAAAGTTCAATAGTTCATTAGTTAAATTGGGTACAACCTCCGAAAGTATATCACTCACTAGATCATCGAAATCGGCTAATATACCTAAATATTGAGTACTTCATGTGTAATAGGTATACCAAATTGCAATTCTTTATTTGCGAAATTGTAGGAGAGAACTAGAAAAACATTGAAAAAATTTCAAACTTTGACTCCTTGTATATCAGAAACAAAGCTCCCACGCATATATTATGTTCAAATGAACTTTTGATCTTGAAAATATATGTTCTTCAAGCTGTTGAAGGCCTGCTACAAAAAAAAACTGACTCATGATATAATGTGTCCCAAAGAAAAGTACAAAAATTGTAGTTCATCGAACGGCACCTGTGCCAATCACTATCCTCAGCAAAATGATTGAGAAATGTCACTTTCACCCCTCAGTCTGAGTCAAATCCACGGCACAGCGACTCATTTGCTCTCATTATTCCGGACATACTTCATACGTCATGTGGAGTTGAAAAAAAAAGCAAATGAAAGGGAAAAATGTCCCATCTGCGAATATCCAAGCGTGTCGCGAATCAAACTGATCTAAGTTAGTAGCAGAGCGTCAATACTTCCATGAATATTTCACCCTCCTCGAAAGATAATATCCGATGGACCAGTTTGAAACTCATGTGGTGCTCACACTACAAGTATTTATGACTGGGTCAAGTTTGTGGTTTGACCGGGCACATACGTTCAGTTCAGTATGATGTTTGACCATCAGTCTGACCAACCAGCTGTTTGGGAATATCAGTCACGTTTCAAACCTGCCCACAAAGTTACCATGTTAAATTTTGATAGGAATCGAGTCAACCATCAACCATTCTGGTATCACCACCGTGGTCGGACGAATGACTTGACACAGCTCTAATCCACATGTTGGGTTCAACAATGGTTCATCGGATAATATCTTTAGATGGGGGCGAAATATTCTCGGAACTATTGACAATCTGCCACTAACTTAGATCAGTGTGAATCGCGGCACGATCGAATATTCGCAAAGGCGACATCATCCCTTCTTATTTGCTTTTTGTTTCAACTAGCTATCACATGACTGAAGTATGTCCGGATTAGCAGCAAATAAATCGATGTGCCGTGGATTTGACCTACCTACCGTTCAATTAGTATCGGATAGCATAATCCTTATATCGTTTTCAAATCGCGAAATCGAGTGGAAATTTCCGCAAAGAAAAGTGCAATTTTTCAATCATTTTGCTCAGGATAGTGATTGGCACAGGTGCCGTTAGATTAACTACAACGGTTTTACATGCCTTTGGGACATATATAGCATTTTGTTATCAGATGACAGTCGAAACTTGAAGCCGGCTCCTTCATTCTCAACTGGTGTGTACTGAAACTATAATAAAATAAACTTCAGGATACGCGGTTTTAGTTCACAAAACTATAAAAATAGACTCATCCAGTATATTATGACACCTGTCATAAATGATAAGCAAACTTCATCTATTCGGCAAAATCATACCTGTTTCAAAATGATTACAGATTATGATCTGCAAGGCGAAGATGATGGTGCTGTCCAAATACCGAACTCAGAAACCGAATTCATCAATGCAAAAACCTACCTCCAAATGGCCAGCGCCAACACCGGAGATAACCTGTACGACCACCTAACCGAAGTCCTCAACAAAATTCTAGCAGAACGCCCAGAAAATGTCATCGATTTCTTCGAAGAGTACAGCCGAAAGGTGAAAGAAAGACGGTTCAAACCCATGACCGATCACCTGGAGGATATGTACGTGCCTCCAGGTAGATTCGATCTCGCAAATAAGATGCTGCTCCTCTTGAAACCTCTACCTCCGAGTGAACCGAGCACAGTAGATCCAGATGACCTGGAACTAGCAGATATGTCCAAAAACAACATGTTGGAGCTGTTATACTACCTAGAACACTGCGGAATCGGCTTGCCACGCACCGAAATGTTCTTCGTGATGCTATCAATACGCAAACTCATACACACTGAGCCTATCGCCCACATAAGGTTCTGGGGCAAAATTTTCGGCACACTCAAAGATTACTTAGTAGTCGAATGCGAACTCAAAGAAGAAGAATACATCAAGAGGAACGAGTCTTACCAAGACCAAGTGGAGCCACCAATATCTGTAGAAGAAAACCAAGCTGAAGATAGCAGGATACGGAAAGCTCTAGATGCCATCGCCAAGCAGCAACAGTTGTATGGCGAAGGAAAAACCGGGAAGTACCCAAGAGACTTACCAACTGCACCTAAGATACAATACGAAGAAGCACCTGAAGCCCCGGCAGAACCGTCAGGCGTTGGCATAAACAAGAAGGTTTACTATGTGTGTAACGGTGTCGGGGATCCCTGGATACAACTTCCCGATGCTACCCCGAAGCAAATACGCGTCGCTAGGCAGATTTACAAGAGCTTCACTGGCAATCTAGAGGAGCCTATCTGTACGTATCCAGAGTTCCCCGGAAAGGAAAGAGAGTTCCTCAGAGCTCAGATCGCCAGGATATCCGCCGGAACGCAGATATGCCCTCTTGGCTACTACACTTTCGGCGCTGCCGAGATGGGAGAAGGAGAGGAAGAAGAGGAGCCTGAGGAGGCTGCTGGTGGTGAGACCAAAACCAGCTACAAACCCAACCCTAAATATGATCCCCCACCGCTCAAAGACCTGCTGGACGGTTCCGTGTCGTTCTGGGTGCACACGGCTGCCTACATCCTTCCTCAAGGTAGAACTAGAGTTCTTTTATGTACTTGACACCCTCGTTTTGAGGTTTTTGTATATTTGAAGTTGGCACACTTTGACAAGCACTGGCCGTCGGAAATAAGATAACATCAATATAAACGGTTTGTTAAACTAAGAAAAAATAGTAACGATAATAAGATGCAATTTTATGCTGTTTTTAACTGCAAAAATATTGGGGATCGATTCGAATTATCATCAAATAGAACACTCTTACATCAAAACATAAAGCATAGGAGAGGAATATTGGTGCAGCCAACAACATTTGCGAGGCATTACATTTTTTTGGTAGAATAATAGTATATTATTTAATAAGTGTTATAAACGTCCTTTTAGTAACGATTATTTTAAGCACGAGCGGAGCGAGTGTTCAATAAACGAGTGTCTAGAAGAGTTTATGAACGCGTTACATACTATGCTTTTTCTACGAACTCCGAAAATTACATTAACATACCTGCTATTCCTGTTCGATTCGAAAGGAATGGGAATTGAGAACATAATACACCCAATTGCATGCAACCAGCGAGACACGCATAAGTGATATTGCTTGTAGATGTAGTGTCCAGTCCATTGCTTACTAACCTTTGTTTCACGTTTATTGTCATGCTTAGCGCAGAATAAATAAATTGTTCTCAAAGATGGATGCTTCATTTTTACACTTTTCGGAGATATGCAAGTACCAGAACATTCTCTTCGATTTCACTTTCGTCTACATTTCGCATATATTTTCAATGAAGAATTCTGATACAAACGAATATTGTTTGAATAATTCTGATACAAAATTTGAAAATAACAGTTGACAGTTGATCCAATTGACAGACCAGACATGTCTGAAATTACTGAAGCTGTGTTTAATGAACTGTGTTGCCATGGTAATGTTTTTAAGAAATCGTGTTGCCATGGTAACGTGTTTAATATTTTGAATAAATCACAGATCGTCGATCCGTGATTAATTGATCATTTAGCGTGGAACATATCCGTACGCTAAATGCCATTTTGATTATGTGAGTAGGAAAAGAATATTATTCATCGCATTTCTATTAGGTTCACTTCAGACCAAAAGATTTATCCGTACTGTCGTGAGTTGTCTGTCAGTTCCGGGTAGAAATTTAAAAAGGAGGATCGCATTGCCAATGATCTGTCTTCATGTCTTAGCTTCCTCAAAAGCGTTGAGCAATTGTTTTTTGATTTTTTTTTTGAGATCTATTGTTTCAATATCAGATAGATTAATGTGTGAATCTGCATATTCGAAGAACTTCTTTATTTGCATAGTCCGGTTGTATTTGGATTCGCAAGGTGTGATTTCTCGTTGCCTTAGAAAGCAGATCTTTGGTAGTCGATGTTCTCCCATTTGTTGGAGTTTGATGAGCCAATTTATGATGTGCTTGAAAACTGTGAGTGAGATTTTCACTCGTCCAGCTTCCAGTCTGACGGTTGCGTCTGGGGTATTGATGGGGATAAGGAGTATTCTTTTCAAGAAATTGATTTGAACACGTTCGATGAGGTCAATGTACCTTGTTCCTCATACTGGTATACAGTTAGTTACGAGGCTAAGAACTAGTGAGTCAAGCAGTTGCATGCGCGATTCCCAAGAATCCATTTTGGTTCTCATCAAAGCTGTTATTGAGCTAGTCGCATGTTCCGCTTTCTCAACTGTCAATCGGGACATTTTATTGAAATTTTCGTTTTTCAATTTTCAATCTAGAGTGCCATGAATGAGTTAAAACAGTTGATTTTGAATCATGTTGCGTAGGAATAATAATTTCGAATCTTTACTTTTCATTTGTTTCACATGTTCATTCAAAATTCACAATATCGTAATTATGATGTTAACTCAATCTTTTTCGAATAGAACAAGGGTTCCTCATTACCATATCCGGAAAGGGTATTTTGTTACGAACACGTTGATACCACACAATCGATATTTTGAATCAATATCCAGTATCATAATCACTAAATCAAAAATTGAAAAATGAAAATTTCAGGGTGGTAAATGTCAAAAAGTGGCAAAAGGGGTGTCATTGTACTCACAATGTAACAATTGAATACGTCAAATAATGCATATTTATATACTATACTAACACACCAAATTTCATTTGTTTATTTATGGAACCAAAAAAGTTATAGGGGTCAGCCCCTTTTGAGAAACACCCGGTATACGTAAAGAAGATAATAATAAGACTGATGAAAGTAAAACCCAACAAAACAAAACATCAAAAATTGAAAAATAGGTTATGGTTATGTTTTGCTGCCAGTGTACCAGTACTGCCAAAATCTTTCCGAAATGTGATGAAAATTCAATGCAACTGCTACTGTTTCGTGTTCCTAAATTGCTTACTTACAATATCGGAACATGACCTTAATCTACCAATGAACTCAATATAAACAACGCGAGGGTCAAAAGACGCGTGTCAAACCGCAGCGCTAATGAGTCGTCGTGGAAAAAACTTTGATACCGATAAAAAAGCGCATCCTTTTTTGTTGCGATAAATATTTTTTTCTACTCACATAACTAAAATGGCATTTAGCGTACCACGCTAAATGATCGATTAATCACGGATTGACGATCTGTGATTTACTCAAAATATTAAACACGTTACCATGGCAACACAATTTCTTAAACACATTACCATGGCAACGCAGTTCATTAAACACAGCTTCAATATAATTTGAGATATGTCTAGCCTATCAATTGTAGGAACTGTCAACTGTCATTTCCGAATGTTGTATCATAATAATTATTCAAACAATTTTCGTTTGTATCAGAATTCTTCATTAAAAATATATGCGAAATATAGACAAAAGTGAAATCGAAGAGAATATTTTGGTACTTGCATATCTCTAAGAAGTGTAAAAATGAAGCATCCATCTTTGAGAACTATTTATTTATTATGCGCTAAGCATGACAATGAACGTGAAACAAAGGTTAGTAAGCAATGGACTGGACACATCTACAACCAATATCACTTATACGTGTCTCGCTGGTTGCATGCAGTTGCATGTATTATGTTCTCAATTCCTATTCCTTTCGAATTATTTTGTAGGTTAGCAGGAATAGCAGGTATATGTTAAGGTAGAAGTAAAGGTAACAATTTTGCGTTTCTCAGCTGTAAGATGGCGCTAGTGCGCTGGGTGTTACTTAATTTATGCAACTAAAATTACACAACCCCTCCCTCCCGACACACTTCTGGTCGGTAATTTCTGCAGAAACCTTTCCTAGAACATAGATAGCCCGTACAGCTTTCTACTTGAATCCCTACCAAAATCGTGCCGACTGCAGAGCCCGCGTAGCCAATGAATAAAGTGTTGCCAAAACTCCAAAACGTCGTAGAATTGCGACATTAAAGATTCTCGTTATGAATTAAACATAAAACGGATATTCTGGAAGTTAATAGACGATTCTCACAGTTTTCTGTGATATTCATGAATGAAAATGTATTTGAAAATTAATTACCGACCTGGATGTTTGGAAGACAGGGAGAGCGTATATTCAATTATTTTTATTTTCCACACAGAAAAAAACTTCCATTCAAAGAAATATGTATCTGGAGAAATTGTGATTTGAGATATAGCCAAGTAAATATTGTCCTGAAACAAAATATGTTCTTGTTATATAATTGTTCGAATACCAGGTACTTGTAAAAAATAAGTTTTTCCTATATTAATTCATCACAAGATCTTATTTAGCTCCACCTGTTATTTCTATCTAGATTTATTCATTATTTTTTTCCCAATTATTCCTATACGGACAAAATTTTGCAAGTGAAATTTAACACATTTCTAGTCGTCCGATCGACTTGAGGTGTTCATAATTCTGGTGACACTATACACATACAGTGAGGGGCAGAATTATGGAATTAATTCATTTATTCAAGAATTGGCGAATTTGGAGAGAAATCTCGAAACAAGCCGATCTCAATTTTCAAATTATGATTTTGTGTTTGATATATCATACTAGTGATCTTATCCATCTGGGCGTGATGACGTAATCGATATTTTCTTAAATGATAATAGGGGACTTGTGATAGCTCATTCGAAAGCTTATTGAATTCTCTATTCAGTGATATAAACTGTAACATAATTATTCATACAGGGTGGCCAAAAAATATTTAATTTTTAATTAAATTAATTTATTCCAGAATATCAGAATAACTCTGGAGACAAATCTCAAAATAGGTCGATTCTTATTTTCAGATTATGATTTTGTCATGATCATACTAGTTACCTTATCCATCTGCGCCTGATGACGTAATCGATGATTTTTTAAAATGAGAATAGTGTTCTTATTCGAAAGTCTATTCAATTCTCTTTCTACTGACAATCAAAATTGTACATATATAGATAGACCACAAAATTAACAAGATTTATGAAATAGAATTAGATTGGAATTTCGTAATATAACTCCAGAAATGATCCATACAATATACGAGAAAAATGTCTTCCTCGGGTGGCAATTTAAACATTTAATTTGAGAGGATAGCAATTTTTTATTTGTCAAACAACGAAAATTTTTTTCTTTTTACTGACATTATTACAATTGTAAAGTATGGTAAAGTATTTGCAAAAGAATGGACACATAATGACACGAAGACACTGCGAGCACTGGAAAACGAATATCTAATGGTGAATCCTTGTCTTGAAAAATGTCAAATAATGGTAATTATCTGGGAATAAAATGTTTTAAATGAATTTCGTACCTAGTTCTTGTTGTAAAAATTGATTTCATTTGAGAATTGTTTATTTTGACCACCGTCCATAAATAATTATGTTGATGTTTATTACACTGAATATAGAATGGCATAATCCTGCAAATGAGCTATCACACAACCCTCATTCTCATATAAAAAATCTTCGATTACGTCATCACATCCAGTTGGATAAGGTCACTAGTATGATAAATATCAACCACAAAACCATATAGTTCAAAAATATTACCTAATCCCGAATGGCGGCTTCGAGTAGAGCTGTTTTTTCAGTGTATTTTAT